TGGTTTGTGAGGAAGGGGGTGGCGTAGGAGCCGAGTGCCTTTGGGCTGGTCTCAGGTCACCTTGTGTTGGAGGTCTGCACTCACGCTTCCCATTCTTAGGGCTCTGTCCCTGCAGGTTTTGTTGTTGTTAATGGAATTCTACCTCGGTCGCATTGTGGAATGTCAACAATCACAATTACCTCCTCTTACCACTCAGGTAATCAGTGTCCTAAGGCAGAGAAGACAACTGAGAGGATTTAACCACCACACATGACTGTAACTACTGAGATTTTCAGGAAGAAAAAGTTTATCGCAGATTTTTGTCTGTAAATTGGGGAGTAGGTTGGGGAAAGTTAAAAATTGAATGTCTTAATCAACATACAAGGCCATAAAAAAAAGTCAAAAAGTAGCTGGGCTTATTTTAGGGTTTGTGTTCATCTTTCTTACTGATCCAAATCCGTTTTCTCTGTCAACCTCATACATTTCTATCTTGTACCCTCAGAGGCAGGGGAACACAAATGAACTGGGCTTAGGAACCCTGGAAATCCCTGCTTCTATTCTTTGTATTCATCTTTCACACTTCACCCTGACATTACATTCGATTAGAATCAACCGTAGAGGAAGAAAACCCAACACAGCTCTTCGCATGGTTTGTGGCTCTTTCTTTCCTATTTCTTATTTCATTAGATAGATTTTATTTTTTGAGTTTTCACCTCAAAAAGCTAAAAAACATATCATAAAAAGTATACACTAAACCTTTGGAATGTATCTTCCTCAATTACAAGAAAAAATCCACTTTTCTGGCGATAAATGAATAAAAGTAATACATATTTAATGCGCATTGCATTTAATTGTAGTGTGATCCAGGTGACAGCTCTTTTTATTCTTCTTTGCTCCAAAGGGGTTCATATTGTAAAGGAAAGTAGCTTATTTTTCCCCCCCCATTCCTCAATTACAAGAAAAAATCCACTTTTCTGGCGATAAATGAATAAAAGTAATACATATTAATATAATGCGCATTGCATTTAACTGTAGTGTGATCCAGGTGACAGCTCTTTTTATTCTTCTTTGCTCCAAAGGGGTTCATATTGTAAAGGAAAGTAGCTTATTTTTTCCCCCCCTTTGCTCCAAAGGGGTTCATATTGTAAAGGAAAGTAGCTTATTTTTCCCCCCCCACTCTGGCAAAGTCATCCTGAGTGATCTTTGCTGTACCATGGCCCACATTGGGTTTGCAATGCATTAGGTGTGTGGGGAAGGTTGAATCTACACCACTGCACTTTTATTCCTTTGAATTTGCATAAATAACCATGAAAAAGTTGCAAGAAAATGTACATTCAATGTTTTTAGATTTACACTCAAAGCCAAAGATATATGGTGGTGAGAATGGGAGTGAGGTGGCAAAACAGAAAATCAAGCGTGCTCCCCTGCGTGGCTCACTCACCCCTTTGCTCTGTTCAAAGGCCTGGGTCTCACTGTATGAGACAAGGACATTCCTCCAGTATGAATGGTGTATTCATTCATGCACCTGCCACTGTTTCCCTTGTCTTGCCCTTTTAACTCCTCTCCAAATCCCTGTCTTCTACCCTTTCTTGAGTGAACAATTTATCCAGGAGATAGCAATTCACAAGTGGCCTCTTGTTCAGTGGTCATTACCAAATCACAGCTATTTTCTTCTCGACCCTCCAAAACCAGCTAGAAGAGAGGGGAAATGTTTAGTCTTGAGGTTAGAGGACATCGAGAGTGATCTCCCACATTGGATCCCACTTTGTTTTGATTTTCTTTGTCCTAGAGCACCTTAAAAATAAAATATTATACGTCTTTTTCCCTGAAGTATAATTTGCCAATAAAACTTCTTAAGTCTTCAGATAAGATTTTTGTCTACTTTCCTGCTCTGATTATTCCCTCCCTACCCCCTAATCATATAACTTCAAGCTACTAAGCTTAAAGAGCACTGATACCTTATCTGACTTTGGATTACTTTACAAGGCCTTCTTATACTAATTTAACTCAAGAATGTGCCCAAACTACTTTTTAAAATTCTTTAATTTCTCCCTGGGCCTTTAACTTGGAAGGATGGGAACAGAATAATAGGCCACAGCAGGAAAATGCAAGAATGTTGAAATGTGCAAAGGATAAAATAAAAATCGCATGTAATCTTACTACATGGAGATTACCAATGCTTATATTTTGGTGTTTATGTCTTAGTCTTTTTTATGTATGTATATATTTTTTTAAATGAAGATTATTCTTACCTGATGTTACACAGTGAACTTCCTTCATATCATTAGGTATTTCTTGAAAAAATGAGTTTTTTTATCCTTAAATATATAAGCATGTGTCTTCTAAAAAGTAGCGCATTTTGTTAAATTACATTTATTATATTTCCAAATTCATTTTTGGTAAATGGTACAATGATATCTAATGAACAATCCTTATTAAAAATTTTCCACTTGTCCTTGTAATGTTCTTTATAGCTGCTTTTCAGTCTATCAGCATCCAGGAATAATATAAGAGCATACTTTGGATTTAGTTGTCTTGGAAAATATAACTTTTAATGGGAGTGATATTTCATTAAATGAATATCTCTAATTTATTTAATCATTCCCCTACTATGGAACATTTAGATTGTTTTCTATTTGTAGCTGTTATAAATGACACTGTGATGAACACAGTGTACATAAACCTTTGGGTGTATCTCTAATTATTCCCCAGTATATCTCCTGCAGGCAGGAAAGCTCCCAGTGGATCCTGCAGCCACACTCCCCCCATGACAGCTCTCCGTGCACTGCAGGTAGTCCCAAAGGTTTTACTTCATTGCACTTCCAAGCTGAAGGGGCAGACACACTTGCTTTGAGACACGTGAAAGAACGTGTTTTCCCCTGCCCTGTGGTCTGGCCAGAAGCATTGCATTTATTTCACCTCAAAAAACTATCCTAGGAAGAATTGGAGTAACATGGGCTTTGAAATCAGACAGTCCTTGGTTTGCATACTTAACTTAACCACAAAGTAACTTAATTTTCATGAGTTATTTCAACTCTCAGAGCCTTAGTTTCCTCTTCTCAAAAATGTGGGAAATAGCTGCCTGTTGTGATGTATATTATGTAAGCACACATTAAAAACAATTAAAGTGCAGGGCATGATGACTTTTTGTTAGTTCTTCCCTCTCCCTTTTAAAGAGTTCATTTTGTAATTCTTCAGAAAGGGGACAAAGAAGCCACAGGATGCTTGTCTGGAGTATGGAAGACACAGGCGCCAAGATCTTTGAAACATGTACAAGGTAGCTGTTGTTATTTCAGGGGGAAAGTGTTAATACAAAATTCAGTTGGAGAAAAGAAAAACCTGTACAGATTCTTTTCTGTCTTTCATGGAAGTCCTTCTGACGTTCATGCTTGTGAGCATCCATTACCCAATTTAACAAAATCAACTAATATAG